GCTTTGGGGCGCCTTACCACCCGTGAGTGGGCCCACTTCCTGGGTGCCACCACCCTGGAGAGCATGGTGGCCCGACGGAACATAATCCTTTGGTGCGCGGCGCGCCTTGGATCCATAAATCCTTTGGTGTGCGGCGCGCCCTGGGTTAATACATCCTTTGTTGTGCTTGGCAGGAGGAGGAGGAGGAGGAGGAGGAGGAGGAGGAGGAGGAGGAGGAGGAGGAGGAGGAGGAGCAGCACTAGGAGCAGCAGGAGCAGCAGCAGGAACAGCAGCAGGAACAGCAGCAGGAGCAGGAGCAGGAGCAGGAGCAGGGTCAGGAGGTGGAGGAGGAGGAGGAGGAGGAGGAGCACCCCTTGGGATTTCGGTGTCAGTAGCGTCAGCGTCGGGAGGAGGACAGGGAGGATTGCGGGCAGAGATCGGAGCGTGGAGGGGCCGCTAGTAGGTAAAGGAACGTCTCATGGAAGGCGGGTCGCGCTACAGTCAGCACTGATAGTAAGGACGACAGAGTTTTCGCATCGTTTTCGATCTCTCGGGGTCATCACCAAGCCTCGGGACCGTCAAAAACGACTCGGGATGAAAACCAGGTCCCGGGGAAGTGGTTGAGAGGTCGGGGGCCGGCGTCCCGAAAAAAATCCAGACGCCGGATGTTTGGGCACAGGGACGGTGAGCCGATCCATCGTCGCCGTCGGCATCGGCGACGCCAGCCATCATCGGGACATATTCCAGGGCCAGGGCAGATCCGACACATGACAGGTGCACTACTGTCTGTAGGATATCCTCCTTCTTCTCTTCCTTTGTCCTCCGTCCTCCTGTCGCAAGTGCATTGTCGATTTGTTGGTCAGACCACGGTTCATTGCACGAGTTTGCCTATTGCAGGTCGGCGTGTGTGTTGTTCCAGGCTTGCCCGACGACTTTTTGATTAGCGATGTGGTTTTTCCGTGAAAAGCACTTCCGTCTATGTGAGATTCTGAGCGCCTCATCCAGCGACATCGTTCCCTCCCCTCACCGTAGTAATACAGTCATGAAGGAAAACACGCACGCAGGCACAACTAATCTTCGATTCCCCGGGACATGTGAGAAATATGGGAAGTGGAAGGGGAACACGAACATCCAGAATCTCTGGAGCATATGGTGGAATTTGGGGATTTGTGAATAATGATTTGCACATCCACGGACCCCCTCATACAGCAGGCACGTTATATGAGAAGCCAGCCCGCCACCAGTTGCCCCGCGCATGTGTTTCATACCCCAATCGCCCTTGGGACACATGGAAGCGAAGACTGCGAAGGTGGAGGAGGATTCGGAGGAGGAGGACGACGACGAGGAGCAGGCGGAGGTGGAGGTAGGAGCAGGAGTAGGCGGAGGAGGACGCAATAGGAAGGGGAGAAGGAGGACGTACAAGATGATAAGGCGAAGTTGGCAGAGGATTCGGAGGAGGAGGAGGAGGAGGTGGAGGAGGAGCAGGAGGAGGAGGTAGAGAGAGAGAGAGAGAGAGAAAGAGAGGAGTGGGGGAGGGCGGAGGAGGGGAGAAGGACTTCCAGTACTCTATCACAACGTCTGGTGGCTTTCGGGCTGTGCTTCGGGCCTCTGGCGGCCGCTCGGGAGGATCGCCGGGCACCTCCGGGAAAGAGCTCTTGACGAGGCGCAGCTGCCGGTGAGCATTCTGTAGGGCCGGGAAATCGCCGACAACCGGCAGAAACGCCCGGAAGCCTCAAGCCTCGAACACGGCGAGGGAAACGCGCAAAAATCGAAGAATAACAAACGCCACAAACATCAACTTTTGGCGCTCCGCGCGGATTTCTTGGATCCGCGCTGGGAGCTCCCTGGCGGCGCCTCCAGCGCCGCCCCTGGCGCGCTCCGCGCGCCAGGGAGGGGGGTCCAGCGCCGACCCGAGAATTCCGCGAGGATTTCCGAGGTTTTATGTTTATGTCATCGTTCGCTTCCCTACAACACACGACAAGCACGCGAGAAAGCACCCCGAGGCAAGCCGAGTTTCAAGAGCCGGCCGACAAAACACGCCCTCCGGCAAGAGCAGGGCGCGGCGAGGCCGAGGGGAGGATCTCGCCGGCGAGCGCACCTGTGGAAGTGAGCCGCGGGGCCTGCCTTCTCGGAACTGGGCTTTTCAGAAGCCCTCGCACCCTCTGAGAAGCCTCGTAAGCCTGCTCCGAAGCCACAGCTCCTGAGAGAGCCCTTGCGCCCTGTGTAGAAGAGAAAAAGCCCTACACATGAATTTTTGGCGCTCCGCACGGATCTCTCGGATCCGCGATGGGCGCCCCTGACGGCGCGTCCAGAGCCGCCTCTGGCGCGCTCCGCGCGCCAAGGCTCCGCGCGCCAAGGAGGGGGGTCCAGCGCAGATCCAAGAAATCCGCGCGGAGCGCCAAACATTTATGTTCATGGCGATTTTCCCGCTTCGACTCTGGAAAACCTTGTAAGTCTGCTCCGAAGCCGCAGCTTCTGAGAGCCCCTGCCGCCTTCTGGGGAGGCCCGTCCCCTCCAGCTT